CGTAGTACTCTACTGGTTTACGTAGTACTTTACTCTTTAGCCATTGGCTAAAATTTATTCAAAATGACTCAAATTCTATGTTTGCAGCTGAAGGTGGCGCATTACTGTGGTTTTTAGACAGAATTTTTAATTTTTAAAGAAAATGCACCAAAATGCTAAAATAAAGAATGCACACATTTAAAACACTATTAGACACTCATTTATACAGTTCATCAGCAAAAAAAAGTTAATTTAGACGTTACTTGCTCTTTAATTACTGAAATGAATTATTATTCTGTGGCTAATACTTATTTATGATAATCAGTAATGTTTAATCATGACAAGTGTATTATTTGTAGGGATGAGCCGGATACTCGTTTCAGACGAGCCGGATACTCGTTTCAGACGAGTATCCGGTATGGATAAAGCATTTTTGACGAATACGAGCATGAAACGAGTAAAACGAGTCAATATCTGTAATCGTGCTGAAGGAAAATCCTCATTGGGTAACTGACTGTCTTCACACTCTGTGACTGGCCAGTCAGATAGAGCGCCCGCCCCTCCCTACACACAAAACTGCAGCCGGCCGGGAGCGCAGTCCGTCCGGTTCATTCACGTGCACACACAGACAGTAACGGATCTCGCAGTGATTGCTTCACTGTTTCTCACGTTTCTTCAGTTTTCCCTAGGTTTTCTTCAGCTCGCCTCTTTTTCGGTTGAATATTTAAAGTTACTTTTTTCGTAATTGACATGGTGCATTTGACAAGACAGAGCTGACGTGCTGTTGTCACTACCTCCGCTCCGGTCGGGTTTTTAATTTTTTTTTAACTCCCTCTCTCTCCCTCTCTCTCTCTCTCACACACACACACACACACACACACACACACACACACACACACACACACACACACACACACACACACACACACACACACACACACACACACACACACACACACACACATTAATCAACATTGTTTTGTTTAACTTTGTGTGGGAAAATGCCACGAACGTTAAGAAAAAATCAGTTTAATGAAATTAAAATTAAAAGATATATATAAAGTTGTGTCTGGTTCTAGCATTTCATATTTCCTAGTTCCTTGCATGAGTTCAGATGTATTAATCCATGCACTCAAATATTAATGTTCTGATTTTATTGAAAAACCTGTTCTGTAATAGTTCCTTTACTATTGTGATCAAAATTATTTAATCTCAACTCTGAGGCTGTGCTATAAATAGTTTTCAAATAAACAATAACACATAGCAACTTCTGATCAATACATATCAATTTCAGACTTAAAATAATACATTGATGTAAACCACGCCCACTTCCGGGTTATGCCACGCCCATTCCGAGTAAGGATACAGATAATTTAGTTGGTTGAACAGATACAGATACAGATAGTGGTGTACTCGCTCATCCCTAATTATTTGCATCCTCACACATAGTCTCCATGTTAAATGGTAACCTTGCACTCACATAACCTTTTGTCACATGACAACCCAGAACTTTCTGTTTCTGAGAGGGCGTGTTCCGAGGTATGTTAAGTCCTTCCCTCTAACATGTCAAAATCTAATTCGTTAGAATAACCCGGAGACATCTCAGGACCGATTTGGTCGCACTACGGTTCTTCTACCCACCTCGTTCTTGGGGGTCATCATCTCCTCCATCATCTCAGATCCAAAAGGGGGTCTCCTAACTGGGTGAGGTAGACACTTTTGACAGATTGTGTCTGAATGCCTTCTATTAAGAAATAATTTAGCTTAACTGCAAACCAAATTCTTTCACCCAGAACGCATTTTTATCTCTCTAAGATAAAACCTTCTGAGACCTAATTCACACATCCAAACACACACACTTCATTTTTAGTTTCATCCAGACACAGATTGCTTTAACACCAAGCTTTAATGCCAAAGCCTTTTATAAATAGTCATTTATGAATTATCTTTTAAATTGTCATCTTTAAATTATTAGTAATACATTCTTAACTTTTTAAACCTGACTCTTCGTTGAAATAAGACACAGAGTGGTGTATATTGATCATTGAACAAGCAAAGATCTCTTTAGATTTTCTGAGTTAATAGTTAAACTTTTGCTATTAATTTAAATCTCTTAAATTAAATATTAATCTTTGATTAAATATAGACCAAGCCAGTTGGTGTATGAACTTCTATCGATTATATAAATATCCGTATATATATATATACATATATATATATATATATATATATATATATATATATATATATATATATATATGATACGTTTTATTGCCAATTCGTTTGATCTTTCTCAGGGTTTAACAAAGCTGAATAGCAACAGTGTTAAATTCTAGTTAAGTAGATTAACAACGCTACACCAGTCATCAAGAGGATTAAAACGGTAACCAAAAGCACCCAGCAGTGGACAGCGGAAAGTATCCTCACCCTACAAGGATGTTTTGAGGCCACTGACTGATGACATCAACGATCAAGTTGACACAGTATCATCATACATCTCCTTCTGTGCAGACAGCATCATCCCCTCAAAAATGGTCACCATCTACCCCAACAACAAACTATGGATCACCAAGGAGCTAAAGGAAATCCACCGGTTCTGCACAGGATGAGAAATAAGTGAACAGGGAGGTCAAGAGGGCAATTAAAGCTGCTAAATTGAAGTATAAAAACACTGGAAAAAAATGTACCACAGCGGTCCTTTGCTCAGCCTGCCAGGGGCTCAAAACCATGGCTGCTGTGAATACTGTGGTCACCGCCTCCAGAACCATCCAGGTGGAGGGCAGCAACCCCACCTCCCTCCCTGACGACCTCAACGCTTTTTCAGGTTTGAGACAAACAATATCACCCAGCTTGAGGAGTCCAGCTCTGCACTCACCTTCCAGGCCGAGGACGTGGTGAGAGCTCTCAGGAGGACCAGGGAGAGGAGCTCACCCAGTCCTGACAACATCAGTAGCAGAGTTCTGAGGCACTGTGCAGAGCAGCTAAGAAGTGTGTTCCGGACTCAATTTCAACACTCACTTGACAGTCACACCGTCCTCCAGCTGTGGAAACACTCCACAGTTATCCCTGTCCCAAATAGAAGCAACCCAAAGTCTCCTAATGATACTCGTCCTGTGGCGCTCACCTCCTTGGTGATGAAGGCCATGGAAAAGATCATAAAAGAGCACATTGTGAGAGCAATTGAACCCCTGATGGATCCACTCCAGTTTGCTTATCGTGCACGCAGAGGCGCCGATGATGCAAACATTTTCATCCTGGACTCCATCCACAAACATCTGGAGCTCCCTGACTCCTCTGCCAGACTTCTGTTTGTTTACTTCTCATCAGCATTCAACACTCTGCAGCCTCACATCCTGGCTAGTAAACTTTCCTCCCAATTTTATTTGGATGACCAGTTAACCCTGTGGATATTGGACTTTCTAACCAACAGGACTCAGAAAGTTCGGGTCAATAACTGTCTCTCCAGTCTCCGTTCCACCTCCACCGGCTCCCCCCAGGGCTGTGTGCTCTCCCACCTGCTCTACATCCTCTACACCGACGACTGCAGATCCACACATCCCAACTGTCACCTGGTGAAATACGCTGATGATCAGAATCAGAATCAGAAAAGCTTTATTGCCAGTGCTCCAGCGTCCCAAAGCATAGGAACTTGACTCCGCAGCACAGCCTGATCAAGGTTACACACACACACGTAGACAAAACAGATACAGGCAGACCACGAGAGCAGCCATGAGGCGCTCATTTCATTTAGATGAAAAGGGAATTACATGAGGATAAATGTGGGAAGGGAAAAAAGGCATTCCAGAGTTACTCCCGACAGGGCGTAGCTTTGCTATGCAAAAAAACGCCTCAACATATAAGCACGAACACCAACAGTTCACAACATAAGACTCCAATAGGAAGGCTGGGGGGGGGGGGGGGGGGGAAATCCTGTTTCCTTCACAGATACAGTCCTCCTGTCACTGCTGCCAGGCTCCTCACAACACAACACCACGGACATGCTCTACATGGTGCAAAACCAAAGACATGGTGGTGCCCATCTCCAGCGGTCAACGGCCAATCAGGCGGGGTTAAATGGTAAATGGCCAGTATTTGATATAGCGCCTTCTAGAGTCCTGGAACCCCCCAAGGCGCTTTACAGCACAATCAGTCATTCACCCATTCACACACACATTCACACACTGGTGGGGATGAGCTACGATGTAGCCACAGCTGCCCCGGGGTGCACTGACAGAGGCGAGGCTGCCGAGCACTGGCGCCACCGGTCCCTCCGACCACCACCAGCAGGCAACGTGGGTTAAGTGTCTTGCCCAAGGACACAACGACAGCGACAGACTGAGCGGGGCTCCAACCTGCAACCTTCCGATTACGGGGCGAGCACTTAACTCCTGTGCCACCGTCGCCCGTACACCCTGGACAGAGAGCCAGTCCATCGCAGGGCAACACAGAGACACACAGGACAAACAATCATTTATACACTCACACTCACACCTAAGCACAATTTAAACAGACCAATTAACCTAACAGTCATGTTTTTGGACTGTGGGAGGAAGCCGGAGTGCCCGGAAACAACCTACACATGCACAGGGAGAACATGCAAACTCCATGCAGAAAGATCCCAGGCCGGGAAGCGAACCCAGCACCTTCATGGTAAAAGGCAACAGCTCTACTGCGCAGCCACTTTTTATTTTCAAATAACTAATCACTAGTGTTTATTGAAACTTTATTTTATCTTCTAAAATAAACAAAGAACAAACAAACAAACAAAAATAAAATAAAAGTTGTTCTTAGAGTACTTGTGTGTTTACCTCTGTAGTTCATATTATTAAACTAAACAATGTTTCTCATTTCATGTAGAGTCAGGCCTTTGTCCTTTTATTTTCATGGATTTATTTTTTTCTAATTCTACTTTGACACATATTTGTTTACTTTCAGTGCTGCTAAGGCAACAGCGCAGTACAACCCCACCCCAGCTCAGGCTGACATCACAAACAAAAGAGTTTCTGTGTGTAACTTTCCACTCCCATGTGACAAATGTGCACTGTTCACTTTCATTTTCCATTCTGCAGTAGGAGTTCCAGCTCCCTTCCTGCATGTTTCAGAAGCAAATCAAGAGCAAATCACAGACTTTTGGTCACCGATAGGTTTTGAACTTGGGTATGTACATTGTTTACACTGTGTGTTTATGCTTTGTTTTTACCAGTTTTAGGGGATTATTTGCTGATTCACACGGAAGTGGATAACAATAGGAAGCTTGACTTTTTCATTACTTCCTTGAAACAGCTATAATAGTCGTAATAACTCCAGATGCGACATAACAACTGTTTCTATAACTATTTCTTCTGGTTTGATCACTTGTATATACTTGCGTATTTAGGAAAGCAAACAATGGGGAAAGAACAGAGTAAGCTAGCACAGGAAGGCTATGTGCTATCAAAACAAGCTGAAGACTGTGCTATTGCCACTAAAGGAAATGATTCTTTTTTCATTAAGATGATTAATCTAAATCAGGTAAGTTTGGTGTTTTACCTAATTCACAGTAAAATTAGTCACATTACACTAATAGATGGAATGTTTTCTACAGCTACCCAGTGAAGCTGTTACTACCTTAACTTCAGAGATTGAAACTCTCCAGAAATTAAACCACCCTCACGTTGTGGACATGAAGCAATCATTTAAAGGTATTTTTTTGGCTCAGATGAACATTGATCTGTATTTGATTAAATACAACGTATGCATAAAGTCACAGCTTGAGGTTTGTTGGAGTTCACAGGGCTAAGTAAACACAAAGAAACAGAACTGGAAAATAAATTACTAGGTGCTGAAAAATGTATCTCATAACAAAAAATTAATATTTTACTCATTTTACAAGTTTATCAAGAATTTAAATGTAAAACATTGATATTTCACTGAGACCACAATAGCTGGAAATAATATAACCTGTTTATGAGAGTCAATCTTTTTAAACCTTCATGCTCAAAACGGTAATAGTTTTATCACTCTAATACAGATGTGCAACAAAGCATTTATTATGTCGTTGTCGCTACCCGATCCGTCCCGCAGTCGGTAACTGTCGCAAAGTTGGCAAAGAGAGGAAGTGACGTAACATTCGCGCATGCGTGGTACCGATCGGGTTTCCGGTACGGATCGGGTAGCGACAGTCGTGATGGACTACTGTCCAGGAGGAAGTCTTGCTGATAAAATAGAATTAAACCCGCCTGAGTCTCCACAGGAGTCAGAGGTATGAAACTGTAAAGCACATCTTTACATATTTAAGTCACAACATAAAAAAATTGTCCTTTTTCACAACTTTTCTTTTTCCTGCCCTGTTGTGTTTTGTAGATACTAAACTGGATTGTTGAGATCTGTGTGGCTCTGAAAACCATTCATGAAGAAGCTTTGTTTCACAAACACCTGACACCAAAGGTTCCAGATGCTTTACACAAACACTGAAACAAACGGGTTTACTGTATTTTTGTGGTCACAGATTTTAATGTTTGTAAAATGAAACAGACTTGAACTGCCTAATGTACACAAAAATATGGGACATTTTATGGAGTATAACAATACATAATGTTTTCAGTTTTGGGTCATTTATAATTTATATGATTTTTTGTAATTCATTTTTCACTTTTCTGTAGAATGTTTTGCTCAATGAATTTGGACTGGTGCGTTTGAGTGGATTTGGAAACATCAATGAAAGGTGAGTTATTTAAGTAGTTATGTTTGTGGGATGTCAGTGGGTTCATTATTTGATTCAAAAGGGTGTGTGTTTGGTGTTGTTTGACTGGCGACCAGGCACCAGTTCCCAGTCACCCTTAAGAGAAGGAGAACTTCAGAAAATGAAAGTGGGAGTAGATGGACAGAACCTACCATCAGTGTCGGGCATCTTGCATTTAAAAGATAATTATTTATAGCGACAAATTACCTTGCCCAATATAAATGAGTTAGTAACTCAGTTATCACATTGTAACATTTATAAATTACCTAGGAAAGTAACTGTAACATTACTTAAAGGAGCATGGGGCAGGAATTGTCCAAAAACAAGAAGTAAATAGGATAGTCAGGATGGACTTCATCTTTGATAGCCGGCAAAGCTGGAAAAAGCAGGATCTAACCACCTGGCTTATGTGAGAGTCCATCTGCAGCTCTGGGTCCAAAACCACCCACAGGTTAGTGATGGTTGGCTTCACTAAGCTGCAAAAACAGGGTGGCAGGACAGGACTAACTGCAGTGGGAGAGGGAGGAAAAAGTAAAAGAGCCTCCAACTTAGACTCGTTCAAATGTAAAAAGTTATTGTAAAGCGATACCTTCACCTCATTCAGGCAATCCACAGCCGGTTGCAGCGACTCTTGAGCTTTTAATGAAACATAAATGTGGCAGTCATCAGCATACAAATGATAAGACATGCCATGCCACCTAAACATAGCTGCCAGAGGAAGGATGTAAAGATTAAAAAGCAGAGGTCCTAAAATAGAGCCTTGGGGAAAGCCACAGGGCAGAGAGGAGGCTTCAGAGGCAAAATCCCCCAACCTCACACTAAAACTTCTAATGCTGAGGTACGATCTGAACCAGTTCAGGGCAGTTCCCTGGATACCCACTACCTGGTTCAGTCGGGACAGAAGTATAGCAAGGTCTACGGTGTCAAAAGCAGCTGTGAGATCCAGCAACACCAGTAGAACATGGGAGCAAGAATCAGTGGCCGCAGAACATCATTAAAAACTCAAAGAAGGGCAGTCTCAGTACTATGACCGGAATGGAACCCTGATTGCATAGGGTCTAAAATGTTAAAAATCTGCTAATTTGTGTGTATGTATGTGTATATATATATATATATATATATATATATATATATATATATATATATATATATATATATCAATCAATCAAAGCTTTATTTATAAAGCGCCTTCCGCAACCCTGTCCGGTAGCCCAAGGCACTGAACATAGTACATGACAAAGTTAAATATGGTGAATAAATCAAAAATAAAAGCAGTTCAAATTACAAATTACAAAAAAGGTCAAACATTCCAGTAGAAGACAAATGGGTAAAACAAGGGATAGAGTGAACCAATGAAAACAGGGAAATAAAATCAACATTAAAGATGGCCAAATTCAAACATGTTCAGGAAACGCCAAGCGGAGGAGGTGGGTTTTTAGGTGACTCTTAAAGACTGGCAGAGAGGGGGGACAGCCTAACTGAGGGTGGCAACTGGTTCCAGAGTGACGGTGCTAGGACTGAGAAAGCCCGGTCCCCGCGAGTACGACACCTCGAACGAGGGACAGCGAGCAGGCCTTGGTCAGAGGAGCGCAGAGCGCATGATGGGGAATGTCTGTTCAGGAGTGTGGCTAGATAGGGGGGAGCAATACTCTGGAAGAAATTGTGTGTGTGTGTGTGATTGATTGATATATATATATATATATATATATATATATATATATATATATATATATATATACATACACACACACACATATATATGTGTATATATATATATATATATATATATATATATATATATATATATATATATATATATATATATATACACATATATATATATATGTATATGTATATATATACATATATATACACACATGTATATATATACACATATATATATATATATATATATATGTATATACACACATATATATATATGTATATACACACATATATATATGTATATATATATATATATATATATATATATATATATATATATATATTTGTGTGTATGTATATACATATACACATATATATATATATATTTTTTTTTTTTGTTTTATTTTTTTATTCATTTAAACTTTATTTCAGACATGGGATATGTCCATAACAAGAATAAAATAAAAGTAAAAAAAAAAAAAATTCTAATTACAGACCATATAGGCAGTTGTTCCAATGCTCAAAAAGGACTGAGTACCTCGTGTCGCTATATGTTAACAATGACAGCGCTCTAACAACAGCGTTAGCTGGCAAACTCAAACCGCAGATGAATCTATACACGAAGAGCCTCATAAGCGCATGAAAAGTAGGGATGTTACTTACAACAAACAAAGGACTAGCAGAGGTCCATCTAGGGAGCTTCATGAGGATTCTAAAAGCATCCTGATAAGCCACTTGAAGCTTCTTCATTACTACTTTACTATAGTTGCACCACAAGTGGGCTGTATAGAGAGGAGTACAAAAGGAACGAAAGAGGGACACTTTAACAGGATCTGAGCACATGCCAAAGTTACGTGCCAGAGTGTTTAGCCTGCATGTACAATTTACCGCATTGCCTCTTAATATCCTCGTCATCACAGAGGTCACTTTTTAAAATGTGCCCCAAATATGTTACTTTGCTTACCACCTCGAGCACCTGATTTGTTAAGTTAAAAGATGGAAAATAAAGCTTCAGGTCCCCTTTAGTAGCAGCAATCATAACCACACTCTTTTTAGGGTTAAACAGGATGTCAAATTACTCACCATACTTAGCACATGCCCTGAGCAGCTGCTGCAGGCCTGCGCTATAGGGAGACATGAGGACTAGGTCATCTGCATATATTAAATGATTTACAAGGCGGTCACCCACCAAGCATCCAGTCTTACTATCGTTCAAAGTAACAGACAGCTCGTCATGGTACAGGTTAAAAAGGACAGGAGACAGAATCCCGCCTTGTCTGACTCCATTCAATACAGAGAAAGGATCCGACACTTCTGTCCCCCACTTTACCTGCATCAGTTGATGAGAGTACCAGAAGTGCAAAATCCTAACTAGGTAAGAAGGGACCCCTCTGTTTTGTAGCTTGATGAATAATTTCTGATGATTGACTCTGTCAAAGGCCTTAGAGGCATCTAAAAAACACATAAAAACAGAAGTATTATGCCTCATGTATTTGCTTACTGTTTCTTTTAAAGCGTAGATACACAAGTCAGTACTAAGTTTACCTTTAAAACCAAACTGACTCTCTGTCATAGTTATAAAATTTTGCAGTCTATCCAGCAAAATATGCTCAAGCACTTTGGACAACACACTTGCCAAAGCAATAGGCCTGTAGTTATCAATACAGGCGATTTTTCCAGTTTTCTCTTTGACTATAGGGACTAAGAGAACATCTAACATATGGTCAGGCAAGATTCCATGCTTCAAAAAGCCGGAAAAGCACAATGCAACAGCTGAGCTCTACAGCTAGCGTACTTCATGTGCTCTGCTGATAGTTGATCAGGGCCGCAAGCTTTGTGTATATATATATAGCTTCTGATCCGCAATCTTTTTGAAAATACTGCGGTGTATTCTGGAATATTTTTGACAAAGGCTGGGCTACAAGACAAATTAATTGAACCGATTATATATATGTATATGTATATATCAGCAGTGCTCTGCTGTCACTTTCAGTTCAGTTCATTTTGCAATGTTCCATGTCCATTTTTACATAAGTAACACATATACTAATATTTACCTTGAAATTGAGGCTAAAGTAATCAAACAGACCTTGTGGTTACAGAAATACACTTAATAAAGTGTGAGTATGTCAACTGTGCTTTAGTAACATTTTCTTTAATACAATAACATATCTGGGGGACAAATTGTCCTGAACAATTAAAAAGTGATTAATCCAGACTAATTGATAACAAAGTTTGATTAATTAGATTATCTTTTAATCGAGCCCCACGCCTGAATGTAATATTTTAATGTGGCAAGGTGGAGAAACAAGGGTCCGAGTAGGATTCGATCCTCAGACTCCCGGGTGAGAGTCACACATGCTAACCAGTCTGCCAAAGGAATATCCCTGTGGCCAAGTAGCCACGGCATATGATCAATCAGGTTACAGTGACAGGATGCTCACCCTGTCACATCAGCATGAATACAGTGTCTAAAATGTCTCTATCTCAGAATTAAATGAGATTAGGCGTATTCTACAAATCTTGTCTGAAACAAAGGCAGTTTGGAGAAAGGTGGAATTCTTAAACTGATCAGTATCATTCACTCGCTCATAACTGTGTCTAAAGGCAAAAGAGATAAAGATTTATTTTTCAGACTTTACATAACAGGATATAATCTATTTTACTTCATTGATTTGATGATTTTGTCTTACAGTTCAAACAGTCCATCCAGCACAAATCCAAATGCAACATTAAATTACCTGGCACCTGAGGTCTTCACAAAAGGTGAATATGATGCCAAAAGGTATTTATTTTTAACCAAAACATAAAACATTTCTATGCAGTCATGCTAGATTTTTTTTTCAGGGGAGTGTGTGTGTGTGTGTGTGTGTGTGTGTGTGTGGGGGGGGGGGGGGGGGGGGGGGGGGGGGTTACTGTCTGACATTGATTGTTGTAAACTAACCATGAGACATTCATAACAAAAATAACTTAGAATTATTACCATCTGTTACTTAACCCTCTCAAGCTCAAAATAAGTTTTGATGAAAAGGACGAACAACTAAGTACTTCAGGGGTACTTCTTAGTTAAAAAATGCTCATGAAATACGTATATGGAGTAACTAGGTAGGTAGGTTTTAACTGTTGCAAATCTGCAATGCCTGCCTCCTGAGGGTTAATGTAACATGAGTTAGCCTGTAATTTTTATAGTCAATGATTTTATTTTGTACTGATGTAAAACATGACTTTCAGTGACATCTGGGCAGTGGGATGCATACTTGTTGAACTCTGCACTAAGAAGAAAGCAGTAAGTTACATAAGAAATTGATTTATCATCATTATTGGCTCAGTTGTGGATTTTCTGTTATCGATTTCTAATTGGTTGGTTCCCAGTTAATGTGGCATATGAATATTTTCAGTAATGTTAGTATTTTTTTTCATAATTGTTATGAGTGTTTTGATTTTCCATTGTTCTTGTGTTTACCTCTCACTCACAACTGCCATCCATCTGTAATCACACACCTGTACTCAACCAGTCGTCAGCTTCCCCAGTTATGAGATAATTTGAGTGTTTTGTCGCTGATAGCTGTCTCTTTTTTCCCTGTTGCTGCTATTCACTCCTCAGAGTTATATGTACCTGTCTATTTGCCCTCAACCCTGGGTTTAACTTACCAATATCACAACAAAATGCTGTGTTACATTATTACCCTTCATCATTTTATATAGTAAACATTGCTTATACAAAGAATGTATCCATTTAAAATCATTTACTTAACTAATTTAAGCTATGCAAATTCCTACATATTGACACAAAGGTTCATTTGGGGTCACCGTGGTCACCACACCCGTGAGAGACCTACACTTAGGCACAAGAACATGGGTTCATCGTTGATTGAAATTGAACAGCACACAAAGGCTGCAGAAAATTATAAGAAAGAAAAGAAAGGATGGATGGTTAAACGGTCTGTTGGACACATGTAAAAATTTGTGTATCCATCGTGTTCTACCTAAAGACCCTTCATTTTCTGTTTTAAAAATATTTTTTAAGTGGTGACATAAATTCTTCATCTTAACTTTTATTAAATTAGGTCCTATTGAGATTGATCCACAGTTTGTATAAAACTGCAACTTACAATAGGAACACTGTTAAAATGCAGAGTGGAAATCAGTAATAGTTGAATAATTATGTTTGAATAAACAAATAGATTTTTTTTACTGGGAACTTAGAAATATGCACTAGTGCCAATGAATAATGCTAATGCTAATGAAGAACATAAATGTAAACTTCAGTAACTTAAAAGAAAATCAGAAAATGATTAACTATTTTTGTTTTTCAGTTCTCTGCTGAGAATACAATCAACCTCATTCCAAAGATAATTAATGGTGTCTGCCCAACTCTCCCAAGCAACTTTTCACCAGAGCTTGGTTATCTCTTAAGTGACCTTCTGAAGACAGACCCTATGGCTAGACCAACTGCCAATGAGGTCTTGGCGCATCCCATTGTGCTAAAGTGTCTAACAACAAAGGTATGAAATATATAACTTCAATGAACTCATTATTGGTACTTTCACATATGGCCCGGTCCAGTTCAGGCTAAGTGGTGTTGGTCTGGGGCCCATACCAGTAGGTTTGTACTCACACACGCATTTGAGATTCTGCTATGTAATTCCTGCTAAGAAAGATGAAACCAGTACTAGAAGTGCAGGGAGAAGGAGACACAACAGCAATGCAACATGCCATCATAATGACTAAAAGGCACATGGATCTGTTCATATATATATATATATATATATATATATATATATATGCATACATACATACATATACATATATAGCTTCTGATCCGCCATCCTTTTGAAAATACTGCGGTGTATTCTGGGATATTTTTGACCAAGGCTGGGCTACAAGACACCTCCTGTGTATCCTTGCTCAACTAGCTAAAAGGCTAAAAAATGGAGAACAGATGCCTCGGTAGAACATGAACATTGGAAAACGCCTTGGCGGTTCCTGATGATGTATCTCGTAGGCAACCGGTGAGCGGCCAAGGGATCATGGTGAGGTTCCTTGGCATTGAGAAACACTCCAGAAGTTCTAACTGAGTCAAGCAAAGAACACAACAGTGCTGTGGTTGATCCAGGCGTTCCCAGCAGACAACTCTTTTCACCTCCTTTGCATCCCACTGTGTAGTCAGAAACGTTTGATTAAGATTTGACCATGACCAATCGAGGTGTCATCAAGTTCAACAATAAACCTTTGTACAATCAGTAGGACAGTCATAATAGCTAAGTTCTCTGGAATGTGGAAACCTGCGAGCATGTGTGCGGGGGAAAAAGACATGTGGAGAAGTCCCCATTGGCTGATCCTACCCGCCAATCTGAAGCTTCCCCTAATGGTAGGCATTAATTTGAGCCAGCCAATTATTCGGAGGTGGGTGTGTGTGGTCAATGCAGCTTGAAGCAGACCACCAGGGTCTGAAAAAACTGCCTGTTGAACATGGAAAAAAAATCAAGCTACCCAAATGTGAATCCAAAAAACACCACCTGGGTGGGACTGGGTTGGCCCAGATGTGGAAGCACCATATGCCTTGTGTTTCTAATTTTACAATTTAAGAAAGATTGGCTGATTTTGCTAAGAATTTAATGCTAAGGAAACACGGCATTTTTCTATATAAAAAATATAAATAAAATAAAAAATATATATTATTTATTTATTTTTTGTAGCTTGCTTGAACAGTTTTTTCCAAGAACACTGACTGCCCTTTTGAGTGAGTGAAGTGTGCAGAGGGCTTAAAATATTTTGAGTTTTGTAGGGAATAATTGTTTAATCTCTTTTATTCTTTTTTGTCAGTGCAAGACAACAGTCAATGAACTTCAAGCCAAGCTGAAAGATCTGAGGGCCCTGGCTGATGGTTTGGAACGCGTTCACGAGGGCACAACTATCGGCAGTCTGACTGGAGGAGTGATTGGAGCAGTGGGTGGGATTACATCCATTGTGGGACTTATACTGGCACCATTCACTTTGGGAGCTTCACTCATTGTCACAGGAGTTGGTGTAGGTGTTGGTGCTGTAGGTGGAGTCACTGCTGGGGCCTCAAACATCACAAATATGGTCAACCAGTCCTCTGATCGCAAAGCTATTCACAGCATGATTAAAGAGTTTGACCAGAAAACTAGAGCAGTGGTCACCTGGCTGTTGGAGATTAACATTAGTTTGCAAACCATCAGCAACCATTGCCCCCAAGTATCTGACACTGACAGCAACTTAAAAAAGCAAAACCTGATGAGGCTTGGCTTCAGGGCAGGAAGAGGCTTAGATGGCATCACTGAACTAATCAGACTGGGTTCAGTGGTGACCATTGGAAAGATTGCTGCACAAACGTCAAGGGCAGTGCGTGCAGCTGAGGTAGTATCAGGTATATTTTCTGGTTTATTTGTGGCAGTGGATATTTTTTTCATTGCAATGGATGCAAGGGAGATTCACCACATCAGGGGAGCAAAGGAAGCAGAGAAGCAAGATGCACCTTCCTCTAGTTCAGGGTCTAAACCTGATGGCAATGACTCATTTGATACGTCGAAGTTATTGTTCAACACAGAGATGCAAGAGTGCGACACAACAGAAACATCTGAAACAGAAGATCAGTCTGGCTCAAACAAAGCTGAAATCAGATCTGAGATCATGAGATTTGTTCACTCAGTCAGAGAAGCAGCAGACAACTTGGAAGAAGTTCTCAAAGAACTTAAAAAAATGGCCTCCTCTGTCTCATCATTATATGAAGAGAGTGAGCTGGAGGAGGAACTCATGTAACTAAGTGGTTACATTTTATTTGATGAGAATCACATCAAGTCACAGAAAAAAAGCCATTTCCATCAATCCTTCCATCATTATGAGCAGTATGTTATTGGGGCAGCCAGATGGGGCCAATGAAATCTTGAAGATGGCACAAAAGTTTGTCCTTGTTGTAACTGTGGGACAGTTTAAGCCGGGAGTACACTGTGCTACTTTGATTTAGGGGTGAATTTTGTATCATGTAGTATACAGGACATTTGCAACTCATAACCAGCTCCCGATCAGCAATTGAGCGGGCACATTAATTTCAAACATGTTTGATATCTTGCTCATTCCTCGTGAGGGTTTCACATTGTTGAGGCAGCAGTGTGACCCAAAATGTAGCATAACCGCTCACACAGAACATATGCATACACGGCTGCCCAGCTATTTCTGTGTCTACACACATTGTCTTTTTAATTTTACACTTTTCTCCACACAAGCATTGCCAAGAAAGCATGTTCTGGTGTGTTTATGTCAAATAAAACACATCTGAAAATCTTGGTTTACTTCCTTTCTTTTATCTTGATCGTCCAACCCCCATAAACGTCGGTGTCGTCCTACAACTACGGCAAGCCTGAAAGACAACAGACATCAGTACTGCCACAACAATCTCAGGTTCTTCCGACTTAATGGTCTGGAGAATTCTGTAAATTCAACTATTCTTTAGCATATTGAATTGCACTGAAGGGCCTTGAGTGTCTGTTAATGCGTTTTGTCTTTCTTAATCTTTTGCTTTGTACTATCTGCCATTGGGAAACAGGAGGAAACCCATCTGTGGGTAACACAGTTGTGTAATAGCTCCAGTTGGGCCAGCTGAAAACAGTAAGAGCAATTATGGTAAATAATACATAAACATAAACATATTTTCTGCTTCAACATGTTGCTACTACATGAGGAAGTCGTACAATTGAGATGGAACTGAATGCAACAAGTAAAAAATCTGCACAGTGCAAGCCTGGTTTTAGCCAGTGTTTCAGTGCACTTGTCATGGTCTTTAGTTTATATTAATGCCTTGTGAGTTGTAATACCATAGTTAAAAACTGTCTTAAGATTTGGTCTTAAATGAGGTGTCATATTAAAACCCAGGGTATACCTTTGCACTAGGGATGAGTGAGTACACCACTATCTGTATCTGTATCTCTATCTGTTCAACCAACTAAATTATCTGTTTCTGTACTGGGAATGGGCGTGGTTTAACTGGAAGTGGGTGTGGTTTACATCAATACATTATTTTAAGTCTGAAATTGATATGTATTGATTAGAAGTTGATATGTGTATCGTTTATTTGAAAACTATTTACAGAGCAGCCTCAGAATTGAGATTACATATTTTTGATCACAATAGTAAAGAAACTATTACAGAACAAGTTTTTCAATAAAACCAGAACATTAATATTTAAGTGCATGGATTAATACATCTGAACTCATGCAGTAGGAACTAGGAAATAGGAAATGCTAGAACCAGACACAACTTTATATATTTTTTTTTATTTTAATTTGATTAAACTGATTTTTTGTCTTTACGTTCTTGGCATTTTGCCCCACACAAAGTTAAACAAAACAATTTTGGTTAAGGTGTGTGTGTCTGAGAGGGATAGAGAGGGTGAGAGGGAGAGAGATGGAGTTAAAAAAATAAAAAACCCGACCGGAGCCGAGGTAGTGAGTTAATGCAGCACGTCAGCTCTGTCTTGTCAAATGCACCATGTACAGTAAGTTACGAAAAAAGTAACTTTAAATATTCAACTGAAAAAGAGGCGAGCTGAAGAAAACCTAGGGAAAACTGAAGAAACGTGAGCAACAGTGAAGCAATCACAGCAAGATCCGTTACTGTCTGTGTGCGTGGTGCGTGGATGAGCCGGACGGACTGCGCTCCCGGCCGGCTAGAGAGTTTTGTGTGTAGGGAGGGGCAGGCACTCTATGTGACTGGCCAATCACAGAGCGTGAAGACAGTCAGTTACCCAATGAGGATTTTCCTTCAGCACGATTACAGATATTTCCGAGGTTTACTCGTCTCATGCTCGTATTCGTCAAAAATGCTTTATCCGTACCGGATACTCGTCTGAAACGAGTATCCGGCTCATCCCTAATAGAAATCACTGAAAATGTGTGGAAAACAACAAGTGAACTTGGTCTTCCAATAAACAATGGTAGAATGTGAAGCCTAAAGGTAAAATACCCAAACACCTCTGTAACCTTTTCACAAGAAATTTTATATAATCCACCATGTTTTGTTAATTATTTTTTGCATTTTCACAAAGCTTTAGTCACTTAAGGATTTGTATGTGGTTTCTAATTTTTAATTAAAAATTCTCCCTAATTCCCTAAAATTTCCCATTATAAAATAAACTGAAGATCATTAATTGTAGATTTGAAATTAAAGACTATTAGAGCATCTGACACTTCAAAAATATTAATATTAGCGGTTACTTATGGGGAAACCTGTTTTATTAAGATCATATTCTGGTTTATATTCAGAAAAAAAAAGATGTTTTTTATGTACATGTTGTGGTTGTCTGTTTTCTACCACTGGGTGGGTGAAACTAGGTTACCTGCCACAATCTCTCAGATAAAACATCCATCCATTCATTTTCTTTCCCCACTTTGTCCTATTTAGGGTTTAGTGGATACGGGAGCTTATTCCAGAAGTTCAAGTCGGGTCACCAGTCTATCACAGCGTCACAACATGAACACACACACTCACACATCTCAGGCCAATCTAGCATCACCAGTTAACCCAACATTCATCATTTTGGACTGTGGGAGGAAAACCAGAACACCAGAAAAAAACACCCATTTACAAGGAGAACATGCTGACTCCACTCATAAAGGCCCCAACCGAGATTAACTGTCAGGGCTAGGAGACATTTTCCTGCACATCCTCAGTCATCACTCTAACATCCGATGAGCTGGTGTCATAAAACATTTATCAGATTTGGGAAGAATTTGTGGGATGGTAAGAAGTAACTTCTGGCCTCAGGTCACCAAAAACTTTACTGTGAGATTTTGTTTCCTAGTTTCAAACTTGACAGAATACACTTTAATATTTGGACAAAAAACATTAATAAACTAATAAACAGTAAAATTTAATTTGCAACTCAAGAAGTTGACCTTTTTGTCCCTTCAATCTGAGGAGTTTATCAGTCAGAGCAGCAAAAATCTCATTTGATCACTGTTCTTATAAAATTATTTTCTATCCATTTTCAGCCACTTTTTTGGAGTGAGGTCGCGGGGACAGCAGCCTAAGCAGGAAGGCCCAGACCTTCCTTTACCCAGCTACTTGGGCCAGCATCTCCAGGGGAATCCCATGGCATTTCCTGGCCAGCTGAGAGACTTAGTCCCTCCAGTGTGTCCTGCGTCTTCCCTTGGGTCTCCTCCCAGTTGGACATGCCCAGAAAACCTCACCAGGGAGGCATCTAGGAAGCATCCTGACCAGATACCCGGGCCACCTCAACTGGGTCCACTCAACGTGGAGAAGCAGCGGGTCTACTCTCAGCCCCTCCCGGATGACTGACTGAGCTCCTCGCCTTATCTCTAAGGAAGACTCTAAACTTCCTGCTTTTGAATCAAGACAAGACTGAAATCTCATCTTTGGACCGGAACTTCAGAAAAGGAAACTGCTTAGTCAATCATCTGATCTGAACGGCATTAAATTAGTCACTGAGAACAAAGTAAAGAACCTTGGTGTTATCTTTGACCAGAACATGTCATTCAATTCCCTTGTTAAACAGGTTTTTAGCATTTCCTTCTTCCACCTTTGGAATATTGCTAAGATTAGAAGCATCCTTTCCAGGAGGGATGCTGAAAAAGTAGTTCATGCATTTATTACCTCAAGACTGGATTACTGTAATTCATTACTATCAGGACGTCCACAGAATGTAGTTAAAAGTCTTCAGCTTGCCCATGTAACGTGATGAAGGAGCCGTTTCTCCTCTCTAACAGCTGGTTCCTTTTGACACAGTGTCAGTGTGCATGAAACAGCCTCAAGGTCATGCATTCGCTTCTAAACTGTTTACATTCCAGCGATGAAGACAGAAGAACAAAGAATGAACTCTTTTATTTTAATTAATCAAAGAACTCTATTTTAATTAAGTTAATCCATCAAAGTGTTAGTCAATAATACCCATGTGACCGATCTGTGAAATCACAATGTTATGATTGTTTTAATAAGTAAATGACTTATTCTAGCCACTAGACATGCTGATACAAAGGTAAGCAATCACATGACACATTGCTGCCACAAATCCAATCAGAACCTCCTGTCTGAAGCGTGGCAGAGTCTCTGCAGTGTTTATTTAATCTGTCAGCTGTGATTCGTCCAGATTTATAAACATCAAGATTAATAAAACAGAGCAACGCCATTTTAAGTTCAATATTCAGCCAGCTCTCGTGATCCCCTGAAGTTCATCGCTAAGTGAAGTACGGACGGGCCTTCTGTACTTTTTCTTTTAAGCTAAGAACTGCCAAACTGGGGAATCCTGTTGTTGTTATCAACAAAACAACGGTTCCTTCAGAATAAAAGTTGAAATCGCTGACCCAAAGGGGGGTCCCTTTGACGTTGTGAAACACCTGTCGCTTTTTACCTGGAGACTATCCAAAGACTGGTTTGTCGTGCTGTTGACGCTGTTTCATCTGCTCCAGTACCAGTGGAAGGTCGTGAACCTGGCAGCCTGATCTGTACGGGAGTCTCACTGACGGGTAATGTAGAGCGACACAGATGGCGTCTCATGTTGTTTTCTGACCACGGTTCAAACGTTGATCAGTTAGGAGCAAAACATCATCTCCCACTCAGACTCGCTTCTCCAGAACGGAGGTTCTGAACTGACATCACACCAACACACACTCCACCTCACATTCCATTCCATGAGCATCCATCACTAGAGAGTTAGTCCTGTTAAACTGTTTAAAATCATTTAGATACTGGTAATAAATTTTGCTCAAACATTTGGAGGTCTCTCTCTCTCTCCTCTCTTCTCTCAGTTCATGCAAAGTGTTTATTTAATTTCCCTGTAATAAAAAGAACCACTCTTCTGATTTAAATAGCCCGGTGTCCAGAGATGGGGTCCATACTAGATATGGATAATTAATATCTCTGGTCATTAATTAAAATGTAACTTTTTAACCTCCATTACACCCAAAATGTGGCAGCTAGAGTTCTGATGAGAATTAAAAAGAGATATCATATCTCTCCTGACTTATCTTCCCTCCATTGGCTACCTGTTAAATTCAGAATAGATTTTAAGACCCTCCTTCTCATTGTTTATCTCATATTGATTACATCTTTTGTGCAAACTAATAAAAAATAAATTAAAATAAAAAACAAGGTGTTCTGATTCCTGCTCCATGCACTTTCCCATTTATGTAGATTATCCCTGCATGCTGCCTCGTCTTCTCCCTAAACTGACAGAAAATGTAGAACTCTCGCTTTCACTTTTCAGTGAACACAGCATAAATGAAAGTTCAGTCTTGAACGTAATAAAGATGAGGAGGTGTGATTTCC